GCCCGCCTGCTGCACCGCCACTCCTAGCATGCCCCACCAGCATCGTGTCCAAGCGGACGTCGCGGGGCGGCGCAGGGCCGGCGGAACGCAGACGGCGCGGACACGGCCGTAGGAGGTGCTGGGCTCCATGATTCCAATGGCCAGCTCTTTCCGCGTCCAGAATCACGAGGCGCTGCGGATCCTCAGCGCTGAACTCGGGGTAAACCGCGTGCTTGCGACCTTGATTCCCGCGCAGGACTGAAATTGACCTATCCGGGAGAATAACGAAATCAATGAGATATCTCCCAATAGCGTAATTCAGAAGATCACGAATTATTTTATCAATCTCGAAATCATTGAATTATTTTCAGAAAGATCATATCTAATTCATAGATATCCTATCTCAATCTGAGAGCTCATTTTGATAATATTTTCTATATTCTATAAGAGATAATATATCATTTCAATTCAAGATTTATAGATAAGAAATCATTGAATCTCCAGGAGATGATAGAATCTTCTGATTATAATATTTGCCAGAATTATAGAAATGAAAAGACGATTTTCGTCTATAAATCATTAATCCCAATCCCTATAGTATGAGATTCTTATATCATTCTATAATATCTATCAATATCTTGATTCGTGCAATTTTCCTAAAGATCTAGGATCCTCGAGTGAAGATGATTTCGAGATAAGATAACTATGAGAATTGGAAGAATTCGTATCCCCCCATCTCTAGATATTAACTAGCGAATCTCCATTTTTCAAATCTTTTGATTTCTATAGAATGATATTTTTCCTATATTTCAAGAATTTGGCAAGAGAATTCAATATCGATATCTAATCTCATTTAATTCTCCAATTCATTCGATTTTATAAAAAAGATGATGAATATATTTTGATATCAATTCCTATTATAAGATAATCTTATATGAATTAAATATATTCATCTTATAGAAGATAAGGTTCATTCATCTTAAAACGAATTATTTTGAGATAATTTATATATCATTATCTCATATAGAGAAATAATAAATAAATGAATATTTTCATTAATGAACAATATATATATCAATTCGAGAATTAAATAGAAAGATCATTCTTTTTATTTCAAATCCTCATATAAAAGATAATATGAATATTTTTTCTATCCCCCCCACGATATATCTTCCATTTTTTATTAGATCCTAATGAGATATTTTCAGAATTTGATTTGCAGAAATTCCCGAATTCTTGATTCTTTGATATATTTTTTCTATAGAATTCTGATATATACGAATTCCTTCTAAATTCTAGTGAGAAATATTCTAAAAATCTTCGATTCTTGGATTTCCCCTTTCCTTTGGAAAGATATTTCGTTTATATATATTCCTTTCATATTTTGACGACGAATCATTCCAAAATCCGTGATTCTTTGATTCAGATTTTCCATAGGATTCTGGATTATACGACTAAGATTTTATTTTAAGAAATCATTATATATCATATAGAAATCCAAGATCTCTGGATTTCCGGATTTCTAATAATAGATAAGAATTTGATTTATATATATATATATTCCTAATGACTTGATTAGAAATATTATTAGATATCAGATTTTCAAATTTAGAAAGATATTTAGATTATGCGATATCTCTTTTCAAATTCTAATTAGACATATTATAGAGAATCTGAATTCCTAGATTTCCTGATTTCCAATTCTCTCGATAAGAATTTGATATATAAATGAATTCCTTTTAGATTTTATTCAGAAATACGAAATTCATTTGATATATATGATATTCTTAAAAGATTTTCATTGGGAATATGATAGATATTCTAGATTCATGAATTTCCAATTCTCATATTTTAGAAAGATATACGATTTACATGAATTCCTTTCCAAATTTCATTAGAAATAATCCCAATATCTTTGATTCTTTGATTTGGATTTCATATAAGAATCTGATCCATGAGATTTCTTTTTGAAATCTATTATAAATGATATCTAGAATTCCGGATTCTCAATTACGTGCAAGAATTTGATTTATATGAATATCTTTTAGATTTTGAATATATAAAAATGGAAAATCTAGATTCCTAGATCTCCAATTCTAGAAAAATATTTCATATATCTAAATTTTTTATTGGATCTTGATTATAGATAATTCAGAAATCCTCGATTCCTAGATTTCTAATTTTCTTATTTTAGAAAGATATTTCATATTTATGAATTCTCTTGATTATTGCTTGAATGAAATTCAGAATCCTCGCTTCTTTGATTGAATATTCATTAGGTCGAGATCTTATTAGATTAAGATAATCACTATATATTTTTGAGCAAAATATATTATAATATCTCCAATAATTCGAATATTCTCATTCATATATATCATTTAAATCAAGAAGATATTTTAGACTCTTGAAGGCGTAATTCTCTGAAGATCTATCAAATCTTTTTTCAATTTTGATTGAGAATATTCGAAATTATTCTCATATTTTCTTTAATTTTTTCATCATTTCAAAATATTGAAATATCTTGAGAATTTATGAATGCAATCGAAAATATTATATTAGTGATTCAAATTTTTATATTCAACCGCATTTAATTATACCAAAAAAATAATCATCTAGATTCTTAGAGATCTAGGACCTTGAAAATCTGAAACGATTTCTTTTGATTTTATTATGACGATCTAATAATATTCTATTTTCTTTCTTTAAAGATGAATCGTTTAGAGAGAATATTATATTTTAGAGGATTTTCTCCAAAAGATAATATTTCCTATCTATAATCTAATCGAAGATTTTCATAATCAAGATCTCAAAAAAATGATCTGCCAAGAGGTTCGAATCAGACAAGAGAAAAATGAATATATAGAGAAGATATCGAATATATCTATTCAATAATAGATTTTCTTATCATCATCATATGATATCTCTTTGCCATATTGAATTTCAAATTTCAAAAAAACGAATCTAGAATTGATTTCTTTTCTGCAATAAGAGAATATATTTGATTCAGAATAATCATAAAAAGAATTCTGATGAAATATGAATATATATAAATCGTCTATGAATTCCGATGATTAATCTATATTTAAGATAAAATATATTTAAAATGATGAATCTATAGATTCTGAAAGATTTTAATTCTTCGTCCGGATCTCCGCATTCCGCTGCGCAGAAATTCAAAGAGAGAGAATTAATTCGAAATCTCCGGAAATTTTTGATCGTATCGCCTCTCCTTTCCGCTTCATTTTTCTCCTAGAATATTTATGCGGTCATTCGGACGAACGCATAAATCCTCATAGATAGATATGATCTATCTATAAATTCTGAAAGATTTTTCTTCGTCATTCCAAATCGATATATTCTAGCAAATAATCAATCGTCTATATATCCAAAGAGAAATAAATTCCATAGAAATTCTTTCGGAAATAAATTGAAATATTTTTATCTCTTTCCTAGATTTATATCTTTTTCCGCAGATAATCAAAAAGAGAGAAATAATTCTATATCTCGAGAAATTTCTGCTCGTATCGTCCCCCATCCGGTCCGATTCCTATTTCATATATCTTTCTTAGACTATCTAGATTATGATTCGAGAGAATATATAATTCCGTTCAATCAATCAATCAATTAGTCATATACCGGGCGGCGTGCAGATATAGATATTCTATATTTTCTGAAAGATTTTAATTCATCGTTCCGAATATATATATATATATAATCTAATAATCTCATAATCAGGAATATTTCGAAATGCTGAAATTCAAATTATTCGGAATTTATATATAGATATTATTTTTCATCAATAATTTTTTATATTCTTTTGAATCTATATCTCAATATTACGGTGCAATTATTTACGATCATTTCCCTTGCGTACGATTAAAATTTTCCGATTCATCTTTCAAATTTCTCCTACGGACTTGCTAAATCCTCTAAAATCTCGAATATTTTAGAATCCTTCCGAAAAGCAAGAGATTCTAATATATCTGGGATTTTTGAGATTTTTCGGTTGTGCGGCCTTTGTTTTCAGAGTAGGATTCCAACTGCTCGGCGGAGCGCATGGACCCGAGACCCAAAATCTTTGGGAATTTATAAATTAGCCTAGCTATCTACGCGACTAGATGCCGTCCCGCCGAGCCGCCCCGCAAATAGCCCAAGAGAGATAATTGAGATAGAAGGGCCGAATTAGATTCGGTAGGAGGTGCGAATATCCTTGGGTATCTGCGCGACTCGACGGAATATGAAAATCCCAAGCGACTCAAAAGAACGCGCAAATCCAAGGCAGAAATCTAAAATCTTTCAGAAGTTCACGAGCAGTTTTCAAATATTTCTCATTCCCCAACTTTCACGTGCGATCTGATATAAGCGATTATCAAATTAGGTCCCTATCATAATACGATTCCTAATATTTAGAATATCCAGAAAGAGATCATAATCTTGACAACTGCCCATATATGCCTTAGTCGTCAAAAAAATATATCAATTTGCATAAGTCAATATTTTATGCTTTTATAAGCTACGGATCAACTCTAAGCTCTCAATAATACGGAGTGATCATTTGCGGATATTTCTTTCATATGCAATCAAATTATCCAACTCCTCTCCGTCACTATCAAAATTATAAATTCCCTAGGGGCCCTGAAATCTCAGAATTTAAAATCCTTTGCAAACGCTAGAGATTCTAAATCTTCAAGATTTTTAGTGCGGGGGGTACGATCAAAACTCTCGAAGATTTTTAGTCGCACGATTCTTTTCTCTGGAGCGGTCTTCCCTATGAGTTATCATATCTTTGAAAATTTCTATTTCGATTGAATTATATCTAAGATCGTGATATTCGATCAATTTCCTGGCACGCACGTATTCATAGATCTCTCAATATATTATTATTCGTTTTCCTTATATAATGATTGCGTTTTGTATTTCCTTTTTAGGAAAGGCAAGGCTGAAAATATGCATTTAAGGCGCGATTGTGTTATTTTGACCTGCCGCATTGTGGTCGGGGAATTTCTGGTATTTGGTTTCCTTCAATCACTAAACTTCTCGGTGAGGAAAACGTGCTCCAGGGCCTTCAATTGCAAGAACACAAAAGTTCTCTTTTCGTGCGTGGATCCTGAGAAGAGTGCGCGTCTGGCCGAAGGACGCTTTGTAGGATCCAGGATGAGGAGAGATTCGGTGAAATCTGCCAGAGACCTTCTATAAAGATGAACTGGCATGACAACGAACGCTTGAGAAGGCTCCAGCAACTGCCTGCCTGTGGCGTTTCTGGACCATCTCGTGTAAACTCTGCTGCTGCTGGACCTGGTCAGATAGCATCCACGATTGTCATCACTCTTGGCTACGGCTCATTGCAGTCTGGCCTATATACTCAAGAAAGCAAAGTTGCTGACGATGCAAGCCCCAAGCCTTACTGCTTGAAGACTCCGAAAGTGCGCCCTCCGGCCAACGAAGTCGCCATGTCGAGTGAGTGTCCTGCTCACACAGGTCCTGTTTATGTTTTCATCCATGCCTTGGGAGGCACATGCAGTTCCATGTTTCTTGTTCTCAAGCCTTGACGACGAACCGGTCGTTTCGATTTTGCCCTGCTTTCTGCAGCAAGGAGTGCGGAAACCTGGAGGACATGTATGGTATCTTTGCTTTCTTCGGATGTCTTGCTCTCAAAAGCCGCACCTCTGCACAGCCTGCTGCATTAAGGCCAAGTGCTCCAAGCTCTCGTGCGTGCGAAACCTCGGTGTTCAAGAGCGTGTTGGCTGTGGGTGTGGACCAAAAGATTCTAAACCAAGGAGCAGAAGCTCGCCAGTGTAAAGCTCCGAAACGATGCAACCGATTGACCATAGATCAGACAATTCATTCCAACCTGAATGGCATGAAGACATCCTACTACAACATGCTTTTTCATCAAGCCGCCACATGGTACAAATGCATTTCAACTGGCAGGCCCCTGTCAGCCTGTCAGGGACACCACAACTACAGCTAATCGACATAAACGCCTGAACACCACCGCCCATGACCAAACAAACTCCCAGTGATGCTGTCTCTAATCTGCCACTGCAGACCTGGCCCCTTTGAAGATTACAAGACGTTTTGGCACCTGTACCAACCAGCTGATGTACCAACATGGCAACATCCCATGGTCCCAATGGCTGAGGCGACAGCCGAGCGATAGGATTACCTCCGGTGCTCGATACTGCCTGTAAACTTAACGTCAGCAACATGTCTCGCACAATCTGGATCTGAGTGTGACTGTCTGTACGTCCTAAAGGAAAGAAGTGGCAAGTCTTGCTGCGCTGCTACCCCACATACAGGCTGACCAATGCTGTAACCATGTTGTATGACATCCAAGCCACCTCAACCTTCATGCTTAAATGCGATGCATTGCGCGGGTGTGCTGAGAAAATGTGCTGCGGTCTACATGAACTTCAGCTTGCGTGCTGCGCTCACTGGCATGGACCTGCCTGGTGTTGATGATCGAGGAGTGGTGCTCGAGCTCATATGTCGCATTGCCTATTCAGCGTGTCTCATCATGTATATCACGTGAGAAAAGGCAGCTCCCTTCAACGCAGACGATGCCGGAGCAGAATAAGCCCACAGCCGAAATCAATTAGTTTGATTTCTGTGCATACTGGGCGGACCTTGGTAGCTCAGTTCTCGCATGGCACGCCACGGACGCATGAAGCTGCATCGAAATTGTGGCCTCTTTCGCCTATGTCCCGGCTAATGTCAGGCTGTCTTTTAAGTGGGTGGCATATGAGCCTGCTGTTCGCCGCGATGACGAAGGCGAGGATTGCTGTGACTGCCAAAACTCCTGGGGATTGCAAGTGAGATCGCTTCCGGGCTTGCTAGAAAGGCAATGGCCTCTCTTGGGAACTTGGATGGCGCCGGAGCTTCCGATGATCTTAAGAGCACCTGCAGTGCAAACATTTAAGAGGAAAAAGCGTAAGCTAAAGCTGGATGCGTCTATGAAGCGTTCTCCAGCTTGAGGTCGGTGTGCGTGAGATTGAGGTCTGCATGGAGAAATCGCAAGGCTTGCAGGCACTGTTTGGATATGCTCTGGATGTCCTGACACGACTGCTGCAAAGTAGGTCTTTTCATGTAGGCAGAGACTTGCTTGACCAACCATCCTGCATCCAAAGTCCGCGATAGTGGTTCTGCTTCAGCAGATCGTACAGAGACATGCCGAGAGCCTGTACATGCCAAGGGGTGATGACTAAACTCCCTGCTCAACCACGCAGTTGAGTTCGGGATGTGTGGCTTAAGGCCTCGCACACCAAGCAAAACAATCGTTCACCGTCAGCTTCGTGAAAGAAGGTTTCGTGCAAACGGACCTCATGTACCAAGCGGCGCTTACATGCCTGCGCTAGTTGCGTCAAATCAGCTGCACAGTAGACCTGGCTATGCCATGTGTGCAGCACCTCTGATAAAGCACTAATGCAAGAGCTATAGCACTGCAATGCCCGGGGTCAGCGCGCAGCCGTGGCACTGCTTGGGGTCTGCAGCCCGGATGTCCTCTCAAGGATGTATATGATCCCGACAAATACATTGAAGATCTTTCGGCGGCTAATGTTTGACGTCCTGCAAGATCTCCGCCTCTCGCATGGCATTGCGGGTGTATTTATCCACCTTGGCTGAGTATGAGTGTTGGCCGGGCTCTGCCTAGCTGTACGTACTCTGCGCATCATGGCTATAACAGAAGCTGCCACCAGACTGAGCTCAGTTCATTTCTGATGATTTTGATGGCAACTTGGCGATTTCGCTTGCAATCCTTTGCTTGCAGCACTCGGCCGAACGTGCCATCGCCCAGGAATTTGCTCACAACGTAGCGGGAGTTCATCTGCAAGCCAGCACGCCACCTTGCAAACGCAGATTGCTTCTGCAAACAATCTACTGTATGGAGTCAGTGCTGACATCGCACAAAGCACACTCCTGTAGCTGAGGGTGATGCTCAAAGTGCTGGACCTCGTCCTTCTCAAGACGTGGGCCTGCGCCCACCTTTCCCGCTGCCTGTGATACTTCTGAGTATGAAGAGCTGTAGCCATCCTCATCGGATGATGTGTAACTGCTTGTGCTGCAGCTGCTCACAGATATTTGCGAACACTTGGCTGCCCGTGTGTGTCTGGCACTGCGGCTGCGGCTTTGCCTTCCTTGCTGACTTTTCCGGCTGCTGCCATACCCAAGACCTTGCATGCCTAAGGATCATCTTGCCCTCATCACCAACAAGCTGTGGGCACGAAGCGGGAGCCCCATTGCTGGAGCTTCCCAGGACATGTCTCCAATTTTGAAACTCTGCGAAACGTAGTGCTAGCCAAGTGAGCCACGTTACCGTGCTATCAGTTTTGTTGTCTTGCTCACGCTAGTAACTAGTAATGCTGTTTTTCCATTTGCCCGGTAGGATGGTAACGTAATGAGGTCTTGTAAGTTCTGCACCTTCATCACAAGCCGGCATGTCCAGCGCATTACAAGGCTGCCGTGGCGGAGCTAATCAGCTAGTCCTACCAAGTGCTACGCAAGCAGCTGACTCAAGTCACTTGCAAGTCGTCCTTTGTACTTTCTTTGATGCCAGAAGCACGCGTTTTTGGTCTGCGGCTGCTAGACGCAGATTTTGGCACTATGTGCAAGGGCAGCGGTTGGGCTGGCTTATGTCCTCCCAAACTTACAGCAAGCTATCACTCAAGTGTACCAAGTAAAGCAAAGTTCAGGGAGGGCACAGCTCCGCTCTGCAGATTAACAAAGTTACACTTGCATATGCAAGAGTCTCTGAGATGTCCACTATTCCATGTTGAGAAGAAATCCCCAACAACTCATTTTGTCTTTGGCTACCTGCGAAACCTGAAAGCTGGCACAGTGGACTGTAAGGGTATAGTCAGCTCTTGGCAGCGTTGCACTGCCACCCGCAACTTTATGCGAAGCATCTGTTGCGGTGGCTGGATAATTCGAAACCCTGATCTCTGAAGTGCTGCTTGACTTTGCTCTTTTGCTGGCAGGTTTGTCTTTGGGCAAGTGCGCCCCTGCATGCATCGAGGAGTTTGCAGCACGATTCTACATCCAACCTTGCATAAGGATGCACTGGTTGCAGCTATGTGCTGTCATCCTGGACCTCCTCCTTCGCCTCCTCTTCTTTAGCTTCTCCCTGCTTAGGGGGATCCTCCTCTTTGTCATCGTCTTCATCAGCTAGGTCGGCAGTTACATTGGTCTCGTTGTCCTCCAAGTCCTGCAGGCATTTAGCTTTTCTACTGCCCCTCGTGGCCTTCGTTAGATCATGTTGCTAATGGATGTCTATCAACATCTACAAAGTGAATGCAAACGACACTGCTGGCTATTGACTGGTGTCGTGCTTCCCGAAGCTTTTAACAGTCAACAGACTTGACTCGAATGGAAATTTGCACGGTCCTTCTCTTTCTGCAGCTCCTCAACGCTTGGTAGAGCCTGCTTTTCGGATCCAGGCCTCAGGAGCTTTTGTTGCGGCAGACGGGATTTGTGTAGCCAAAAAAAAGAGTTCCCTGAGATGACTGCAGGGCTGTAAGCTTGTCCACTCCCCAGGCCAAAACGTCTGCATAGGAGCTGGTAACCAAGTCCTTGCGCAGTCCGGGCATTGCTGGTTAGTGTGCCTAAGCGCTCCATTCATCATGCAATCCCAGAAGCTAGGCCTGATCTTGACCCACTGCGACGGGTCGGTGGAATAATTTGGTCATGTCATAGTGTCCGAATTGCAAGTATGATGCAACTTCCCTTCGTTTCGGGAGATGTGCATGTGGCTAAAATTCTTGAATGTCTTCATATGTCTTCATTGGATGGGCAACTGCAGACCCTGCCACCCGTGGTCCTGAACATCCTCAAAAGATGTAGTTTCTGCAATCTGCTGGATGGCGACCGCGGCAATGCCCAAACTACCAAAGCGAACTAGCAGCATCAACGCGTCATCCTTTCGCTTCTCCCAGGAGTACAGTGGCTGGAATGAATCCAAAAACCCGCAGTACCTCAGCTGATCGTTGGCAATGTCTGCCTCAAGAGCAAAGGCAAATGCTACGTAAGCACTGAGGCCAGAACTCGTCGTTCAGATTTGGGAAGATCCAGAAATCAAAGCCAACAATCCAAAACATTGTGAAGATCAGCATTCGCAAGATAAGGACGCCAAAGTAAAGCGTCAGAAAAATCACACTCAAGTACCAAACGCCGACCTGGCATCACGCTGAGCATCAGCAAGCGACCGCTGTCACACACAAAGGCAGAGTTCTCGTCCCTGCCTTGGCCCACATTGGCCACACCGGGAACATGCATGCCAGGAGCACGCCGGCAATGATCAAAGCCAGCAAGAAATGCTGCAAGCCACTCCCTCCCTCGTAGGTGATCACGTAAAACCTCAAGGTACGTCTTCAGCATGTTGCAAGTCTCAAAACCCGTTGTAGTAGTTCAAAGCTCCAGCCTCCCAGAAGTCCAGGATTCCAAAATTCCAGCACCCCAGATTTCTGGAATTCCCGAATCCAAAACATCCAGATTTGCAGGGCTTCAAAATTCCAGAATTCCACATCTGGAATTCTGCAATTATCTCAGGCCCTGCAAATCTGGAATTCTGGAATTATGGGCCCCCGCACATCAGGAATCCTGGAATTCTTTCATTAGAAGGTCGTAAAAATCTGGAATTCTAGAATTCTGGATTCAGGAAGTCTGGATGATCGTATTCTGTAAATCCGTACATCCCTTGGACATCAGGCAGGGTCTTGGCTAAAAACGCTGGAATACACAAGGGGACTCATAAGCCCGGGTTTGCGTTGCTGTTCACTTCAAGACGTCTAGAATGACAATCCACCTCCAGCCCTGAAAAACTTACCTCGACAGCACTTTCATGCATATGAGAACCCAAGATGTCTAAAGTCATCAGTGGTCATTCGAAGCCCCAAGCAAAGCCTGAACAAGTCTCTGTAAATTTGCTCTGCCAGCTTGTACTGACCTAGAAATAATCTTTGTATAGCCCCGAAGCAAACCACTTGCAGCCTTAATAGGGTTTCCACATACTCAGCCACTTCATAGATGGGGCAACTGCTTATGCCGACCCTACGCTTACATAACTCGGGTAAAATCAACAAGTTTGAATATGCGTAACATCCTACATCACACATGCCGAACCCAGGTAACTGATGCGAAAAGGATCTCCACATATTTGTTCCATAAACTAGTCGCCATTCGTATACAAGCCTTTTGACAGGCCTTTTTAAATGCAAAAACATGAGTTCGATGGAAACACGCAAGCCTTGTCTTTGTATGAGAAACCCACCATAAATGGTATTTATTCGGCAAGCTTGCGAGAGGTCCTCATAGTTCTAGTTTATAGCAGGAAATAGCGAACCTGTTAAGATTTCTTAGATCTAGCCAGAATTCCTCTTCATCAGAATTTTCAATGAGAAAGGAAGCCTGGTAAAATTCTCCTACACCTCATTTTGGGGACAGTGTAACACTTCTACTTTGCCAGACTACACAAGGGTTGTTATTGTTAGCAGGTTGTGTTTCAAGTATTGGGGATTTCATGAGTCTTTTGTTGAAGCCTTCCAACAGATACACATCAGAAGTCCTCGTTAAGATCTTAAACTGGTGATCCTCACTAGGAGCTTGCCACAAATTCTGTAGTCCAAATCCTTCATTGATGCAAGTTTTGGTTGGATCTGAGATGGAAAACCATGTCGAGCTCTACACACAGGATCGTGTTTAAAAACGTTGGCAAACCTCTTGCTATTAGGAGTCTGGCTGAGAATTCCGACAATCAAGTTTATTATTCCATCTTCAATCTGGGGCGCCAACCTACCGTTTTATTTCAAATGTTTACCAAAGGTCCTAATAGGGGTCCTACCTTTTCCAGTATTCCCTCTTAGTCAAATTCAGGGGTCCAGCTTTCGTGTGAAGTGCTCATCACAAGAAGCCCTATCAGAGCTCCTTATTAGGAGTTTCGTCAGTTTATTGGGAATTCCGGTTTCATTGAATCTCAGTGATGCTGCAGACAAGGACATTTGATTAGTGCTTGTTATGTTAGCAGGGATTCTTATGAGGGCATCTGAATCGGCGTGAAAAATTAGGCATTAGGTCTGAATATACCGAAAAATTAAGGAAGGCTGTTAAAAATACAGGTTTTAGAGGAGGGTGCCATAAATCTGTATCGAGCCACCAGGAGGGAAATATCAGAGCCTAAGGCCAATTACAGGGGTGGTGACCCAGGCCAAGTAACTGATCAATGACAACTAACGCTGCGCTCTAAGGAGCTAGCGCTGTGTGGAAGTCAAAATGATATATAGCCAACGTCAGACACATAATTTTTTCAAAGTGCAGACGTAGCATCTGTGCACAGAATCCAGAATGTCCAATGTGTAGCTATCCCATAGAAAACACCCTTGGTGGACGTGTTTGTGTCCTTGTGTGGACAAAGGCTCCGTGAGGATCCGTTCAAGGTGACAGTGCTTGCATTCATGGAATGAGTAATTCAAAGGCTACTTTGATGCCCTGCAGTTGTTCAGATACTTGCCTGCGCCTTGCCGGGTGTAGTATGCTTGCAAGCCCCCTGCATCTGCAGCGAGTTGTGTAAGTAAAACCCTGCATTCCTGAGGCTTTAGATACTTCTTGTAGCCAGGATGTTCTCGGCTTGTATTGGGTTGCGTATCGTTCCCCGACCAAGCAACCAACAAGTTAAATGGCTGGACATTCAGGAAGCAGTGTGAACACGAAGCCGGTGCCTTGGGTAAAGCTGAGCATCTGTTAAACAGCAATAATCCCAGTTTCCATTTCATTTTCCATTTTCTTTTCAATTTGATTCTCCATTATAGTAGCTTCCATTTCATTTTTTCCATTATCCCGTGTTAATACGGGAGATCCTTGAGCTGATGTGGCCCTGCCATGCCGTGCCTGTTTGTAGATCTATTGCATTAAGCAGGAGGTGTCAAGTGTAGTCTTGCATTCTTGGGCACACCCACACCACGATCAGTGGGTTTGGCAGCGGGCTTTGCTTGTGACATCCCCTGCTTATACTCGAAACTTTGAAATCGAAAGCTAAGCGATGCAAGATGTAAGTCCGTAGAAGTTGAAGAGGACCTGATGAAACAGCAACTTTTCAGGTGTAAGGCCAGCACCCTTCAGAGTCGAAAGCTTGATTAGGCGTTCGGCCCAGTCTGTCAGGCCATTTCTTTGGCTTCTTTTCTGCACCGTCATCTGACTTGGAGCTTGGGTTCAGTGGCTTGTACATCGCCTGGCGGGCATCGAGCACACTGAAAAAGCAAGTGTGAGAGGTATTTGACAAAGTCCGTAGAATGGCCTTGTAACAAAACTTCCGGTCAATCAGCTCTTGGCCAAGTCGAACCACATCCTGATCCGCCTGTGGGACTTGACCATCCAAAGCCTCTTCCAGGGCCTTTGAGCACTTCTTGGTCAAAATCCCTTCGCTTTCCAGAAGGAACTTCTTGAAATCTTTCCCACGGAAATAATCCACCTTCTTGCGTCCCACCTCATGATGCGGTGCGGAACAAACTGGCTTGAGCTTTGGTTGAAATGAATACAGGCTGCACGGAGAACGGCTGGGTTGTGCACTTCGCTTGCTGTCTTTGTCTTTATGCCTTTCTTGCCTAGAAGAACTTTCATTAACGGCTCGAAGGTCGGGTCCCATTCGGGCTCCTTCTCATTCTTGCTCCGTCCTGAGCTGCGCACCGGGCACTGATCATGCAATTCACTCTGTATGCTGCGCACGATGTATAAGTGGGATAATACATGCTGACGCCACTCTCTTCTGCCACTGTGGGCTGCGCCTGGAAATAAAGTCAAGGGATGTCCCCAGTCACCCCAGTCCTTGCCGACCCTCTTGGGTGTTGAACATTTTGCCAGCAAAACCATCATCTTTCTGCCGGCCAAGGTCTTGGACGGCCGTTAACAAGACTCTCGAAAATCGGGCGCTTGCTGGAAAGCCGGAGTGTTCTCGTCAGACTAAGCGTCTACTGTGCTACAGAACCCGAACTTGGTTGAGTACAAGTGCATTGCTCTGCTGAGCACCCAGTGGTGAACGCGCAGTGCAAAAGAATCCAAGAAGCTTGTCTGACGCATTGAAGGGGGTGAGTGCAAGGGTCTGCGGTTCTTTCCGCCCACTCGCGCTAGTTATGTGCTTCACCAAGCCTATGGGCACCGAGTCCACTCTAGACCACCCTCGCGCTTGCTGCAACACACTTTTCCTGCCTGTAAGACCTCCACATAAAAGTTGCAAATGCACAGCTATCAGCCAAGTTTTTTTTAAGGCCAGTGCTGAACATCGTGGCTGGCACAAGTCCCAGAACCAGAAGCAAAACCTGGATCCCCTGCCAAACCCAGCTTGCGGGCCAATATTGAACAAAGCACGACAAACATGAAGGACATGTTCAGCAATTTCCCGCATCATCATGCGTAAACATGACGTTTCAGTGATCGGACAATGTTTTTGTTGCACTGGCAGGTGCTTGTTTGGGCTGTACACGTGCAAAATACTTTTTAATTTGGCTGCGCTGCCTGGCTTGTCACCGGACAGGAGCACACTGACAAATATGTTGTAGCTAATTGAAGATAATTCCCTGCAAGAGACCACTGCCACTGGCTTCACCATCAACAGCTGGCTGGCAAGCAAGCCAGAGGGTTGCTCACTTTGCGTGTCTCAAGGAAGTGAAAGACCTGCCAAGCACATCAATCAGTTCTCTGAAGACTGGGACTAGCTGCAATAGAGTTTGCCTGGACGATGCAAGCTTTGCCGTACTTGCATTCCCATTTGCGACTGGTCGAAGATGACGCTTAGGCTTGCCACCCGTTGTGCACTGGCTGACCTAGGATTGCAATGGGGCCATCATCCTGCATGCCCCAAATTGCTGCAAATGCGGCTATGTGCTTGCAGTGCACGCTGTGAATATTCAGGACATAATTTCAGTAGCTCGAATGGATCGCTCAGCCCCAAGCTTGCGAGGCAAAGCGAAGAGAACAAAGAGTCTCGTGAGCATGATCTGCTTCGGGACTGATGGTGACCAGCATCAGAGTTTTGCCCTGCCCGTTCAAACACGGCCTAGGTGGCAGGCATCTTCATTGTCACCCGGTGTAAGGAGGGTTGTAAGGACCCTGCTCCATCAAGTGCGTCCTGGGCTCGGCATTCAGATTCTTTCAACTTGGCAATTGAAATAGTTTTGCAAGCTCGTTCCTTTCCTACCAGCTCTCGGCTTACATGCTGTCAGGAGTCAGCTTCGAATTGCGAAAAGGAATGTGAGATCGCCCTTCAGCTTTCGCAAGGAAGACATCTGCCAAGCTCGACCTGTGGCTGCAGGCATTGTTGAAGTTTGTTTGTTGCGTGGGAGGCGGAATGAAGATACGGCTTAGGCTCACGCAAGCTCCTGTTGATGTTCTGAGTTTCCTTGAGCCTTTCACCCGTGGAGCCAGACCTTTGAAGGCATTTGCTCTCCCACCCTGTGCGATCACTTGATGTTCGCCAGCCATGCACCAGAGCAACGTGGCCACTAAAGCCTGATCGTTCTAGAGGCATGGCTTTCTAGATGCATTTCCCTGTGACATTTCCTGACTGACTCCACCCTTCACCGTTTTGGCTTTGAGGCTACGGCTTGTCAAGCCTCTCGGAACCCGCCAGGTCCACCAAGTGCAAAGCACCATGCAACTCCTAACATGTGAAGGCGCACAGCGCACTTCACACACGCTACGAGGGGCTGCTGAGGTCTCTGGCGGAACGCTGCTCCCGATTGACGCCATGCAAGTACAAAGCGAATATAGAATGTGATCGAGAAGATGACGCGTTCATATCGGTCGCGCCAACCTCCAGCATTGGTCTGACCGCAAGGGGGCACCAGCTCTAGGTCATATGCTGCCAAATTGATCTAAGCGATGCACGGATCGAGCCCTTGAAGCTGTCTCCATTAGCTTGCTGATCTGCTCCATGTGAGAGACCTTCCGGAGTGAGCGTATGTGTCAACAAGAAAAGACAATCTAGAGACTTGACCTGCCTCCATCAAAGTAAGATTTGTCACAACGGTGCCCCATGCATCATCGTGCTTTATGACGTGCACTAAGTTGCTTCCTTCGCTCCCAAGCAGGTCCCGAAGTACCTTGGCAGAAACTACAATGGCTCTTTCCGTTGCTGAACAGGCAAGGGCCTCGTTGTAGACTTCCAGAAAGGACACTTTCAGTGTCCATGCCCAGCCTGCATTGCATTATCACCCTTTTGATTCAGAATCAAGGCACTCTCTCCGGCCTGAAGCCTTCATGGCTTCGGATGCTTGCAGGATCTGCTGGATTGATCGTGGGATGAGACCTAACTCAGTGTGTGGTAACTGACGCTGCCTTGCACTACCAAAAAGCCTTAGAGAGTCCGAGTGCGCAGCCAAGCGCTCCAGGTGTTGAAGAGCCCTGCATCGTGTAGGTCTTTCCAGAACCTGTCTGGCCATACCTGATGGCCCAGTGGATCTTTTGCATCGCACCACCAACGAGATCTTCTGAGCCCGCAGCGCGAAAATTGAAACCTTGAACCCATCCTGAGGAAGGAGCTTGCTGTGTGGACTGTGCTTCGTTGTAGCCGGTTGAGGCGCTCGCTAACGCAGACTGTACCAAACCTCTCACCTCCTCAAAGATGGCCTCAGGGATTGTCTTGGAGCTGTGGGAAGCTGAAAGCAACTACAAGCAGAATTTGCATGCGCATGTGCCTCTTGAGAAGAGCTCTCTGCGAACACTCGATCGAAGCTGAAGCCATACTGCTCATTCATGTGGTCCAGGTTGAGCTTGTTCTGAGAGTGTTGCAGGCACCAAAACAGGGTCATATGGAGGCAGCAGCTGCAAGTGGCCTCTGCAACCTGCAAATGCTGCGATGCTCCGGAGCTTCCGAACTGTGGCCGCAGGCGGCAAAAGACCCGGATATTCCCCTTCAGCTCCTAGCACATTGAGGCCACTCAGGCAAAGAGCAATGCCTAATGGACACAGGCTGACATTCCAATCGAAAACCCACTTGGTCAGCTCTTGACATGGTCAATTCAAAGCAAAATGCAAATCATAATTTACTTTCTCGACTCTTGGTTTCAGCGTTCTCCTGAATCACATTGTGCAGCTCTCGTCGGGTGCATTCTGCAACAGCCAGTTGACTCTCCAAAGACTGTATATAGCCTTGCAGTGTTCATCTGCGGCAAAGCATCAATCTGGAACAATGCTGCTGGCCATCCTCAGATAGCTGGCCTTGATGACGAGAGATGTTTCCCTGCTGGCTGTGGAGCTCTGCTTTTGTGCACTCCACTTGCTTGCTCAGCTTGTCAACCTTGGCCATGGAGCCATGGATTCAAAGCTCATCTGCCAACGCATTGGGCAGCTCTGAGCTGGGCGCTGTAAGCCTGAGTTCAGTAATTGCCTCCATCTGCTGTTGGTTGCTGGTCCCATGGTGCTCTTTGTAGCTTCTGAACTCAACCTGCTTGCCAGCAATTGCAGGACACTACTGGCAAGGGACACTCAGCCTCCAGTGCGTTGCGTTCTTGTTGAAGCTTTTCGCACTGTTGCTGCTTTATCTGACCATGAACAATGTCGCAGCGAATTAGCTGAGACGCCCTGTGAGCCAAGATCTGGACATTTATCGAAGCTTTGGAGCTTTCCAACTCCTCCCATGTTGGAGTAATTAGTCTGCTTTGAGATGCCCAAGCCACTTGGACAAAGCAAGCGCTCCTCGCGAAGAGTGCCGACCTTGATCTTGGACTGAGCAATTTCCTCCTGCATCAGATGTTTGGGCACTTGCTCGCAGCAGTCCATGCCATGAGCTTGCATTCCGGGAAGCATGGGCGCCTGCAGCGCAGCTTGGTGTTCAGATGCACGCTCCATCCTGATAGCATGTCTTGTAGAAGCTCAGACGCTCCGAAATCACAGAAAGCCACTAATTCAAATCGGGCGGCTGCAGGTCTCTCTCCGTCTCAGCAAGCTGCAACGTCTTGCGAAGCTCATGGAGTTGGTCCCTGCTTTCATTCACTACTTCAGGGCTGCCACCAAACACTGACACGGATGGAGAGTTTTGTGGCCTCAGGTGAGCCAGCTCCGAATCCTGCTGCTGCACCTTGTGGGAGTATGCCTCCCAGGAGTTCAAACTGTCTCGAGCAGAACCCCCCCTGGTGCACGCATGCCCCCGGCACCAGCTCGCTGCTGCGCAGTTCGTCTGCTCGTCTTCGAAGCTTTGCGGCCTGCGTCTGGGTCTTAGGTGCCAAGATGCTGACTCTTACCGTTGGTAGACCCACGAATCAGCTCAAATGTAAGGGATCTGTACATGGCGCGAGCTGGATTAAGGGGGCCCGACGTATCGGATCAGGGCAGGGTCGAATCGGATCACACGAATCGGATCAGTAAGCCGGATCAGCTCCACGGATCACACGAAGCGGATCAGCGAACAGGAGCAGGTATGACGAGAGGGTCGCCGCTTCTGAACCAGGGATACTAAAGTTTAGTCGTTGCAGAAATTGCCACTTGAAGGATCAGACTAGGGGACTAGCCCCCCTTGTGGGACTGTCTGATGCTAGTAGAGATGGCGTCAGCATGAGATTAAAAAGGCAAGACCCGACTCAATACCTTTGGAGCGTAGGTTAAACCCTTAAACCCTAAACCCTCAAACCCTTTAACCCTAAACCCTAAACCCTTAAACCCTAAACCCTTCAACCCTAAACCCTTAAACCCTAAACCCTTTAACCCTCAAACTGTTAAACCCTAAACCCTAAAACCCTGAACTTTTAAATCCTTAAACCCTCAAACCCCAAACCCTCCAACCCTAAACCCTTAAACCCTAAACTCTTAAATCATTAAAGCCTAAACCCTTAAACCCTAAACCCTTAAGCCCTAAACCCTTTAACCCTAAACCCTTAAACCCTAAACCCTTTGACCCTAAACCCTTAAACCCTAAACCCTCAAACTGTTAAACCCTAAACCAATACATTGTTAAACCCTGAGCCCTTAAACCCTTAAATCGTTGACCCTGAAATCCTTAAACCCTAAACCCTTAAACCCTAAACCCTTTAACCGTAAACCCTGAAACCCTAAACCTTTAAATCCTTAAACCCTAAACCCTCGAACTGTTAAACCCAAAACCCTTTAACCCTAAACCCTTAAATCATTAAAGCCTAAACCCTTTAACCCTAAACCCTTAAACCCTAAACCCTTCAACCCTTAAACCCTAAACCCTTAAACCCTAAACCTTTACACCCTAAACCCTCAAACTGTTAAGCCCTAAACCAATAAGCTGTTGAACCCTAAGCCTTTAACCCTCTCTTACCTATATATATTTAAACTTAAACGGCATTTGTGTTTAAGGCAAATCTGACTTGTGTATAAGGCAAATCTACTTGTGCATAACGTAAATCCACTTGTGTATAAGGTCAATTTGACCTCAAACGGAATCAGTTGTGTATAAGGTAAATCTTATTCGTATATAAGGTCATTCTGACTTGTGTTTAAGGACTTGTGTATACGCGAATCTACTTGTGTATAAGGTAACTCTTACCTTAAGTCAGGTTTTAAGAGATTTGCCTTGTACACAAGTGGATTTGCCTTGTACACATGGGTGGATTTGCCTTATACACAATATGGTGTTTAAGGTAAATCCTACTTGTGTATAAGATCAATCCACTTGTGTATAAGGCGAATCTGACTTGTGTATAAAGTCAATCTGACTTGTGTATAAGGCGAATCTGGCTTGTGTACAACGCGAATCTGACTTGAGTATAAGGCGAATCTGGACTTGTGCATAAGGCGAATTCTGGCCTTCCAGGGCCCTGAGACCCATGAGAGGCCCCTAAGAGGCCATGGCCGGCTCCTGAGAGGCCCCTGCAGTCCCTGAGGTTTGCAGGCTTGGGCATCACAATGTGATCTCTCCAGAGCTTTGGGCATGTAGTGCTGACAAGCAGGCCATGGAGGCTGACGAAATCAGTGATTCCATCACAAAAGTTGGCAACACAAGGGTCTAAGCAATACGCGAAAGGGTTGGTTCAAGGGTGGGGTTGGGATTGTACACGCTGCGTTACGGTGTGCTTGAGAGCTTTGGGTGTGACAGCGTGTATCCTCCAGAGTTTTGGGCGAGACTGCTCTTAAGATGCCTGTATACCAGAACGATGACAGAGTATGTGAACATGTTGTTTTCCAAGCTGTGTAGAGATGATGCCGCGAGACGACAGAGAATGGGGCTGACAAACACAAAAAACTCTGTATTTTCTTGATGTTGGGAGATTCTATGGGCGAGTGGGTATTGCTCTGTACCGTAACATGCTGTGCTAAGGAATGTTTGTACTTGAGATGCTAAAGCCTCAAGCCCTAAACCCTTAAGCCCTAGACCCTTCAACCCTAAACCCTTAAACCCTGAACCCTGAAACCCTAAACCCTTGAACCCTAAACCCTCAAACCCCAAACCCTCCAACCCTAAACCCTTAAACCCTAAACCCTTAAATCATTAAAGCCTAAACCCTTAAACCCTAAACCCTAAAACCCTAAACCCTTAAGCCCTAAACCCTTAAACCTTTAAACCCTTTAACCCTAAACCCTTTAACCCTAAACCCTTAAACCCTAAACCCTTAAACCCTAAACCCTCAAATAATTAAACCCTTAAACCCTAAACCCTGAAGCCCTAAACCCTTACACCCTAAACTCTTAAACCCTAAACCCTTTAACCCTCAAACTGTTAAACCCTAAACCCTTAAACCCTAAACCGTTAAACCCTTTAACCCTAAACCCTTAAACCCTAAACCCTTAAACCCTTAAACCGTAAACCCTTAAACCCTAAACCCTTAAACCCAAAACCCTTAAATCCTAAACCCTTTAACCCTAAACCCTTGACCTAAACCCTGAAACCCTAAACCCTTAAATAATTAAACCCTAAACCCTTAAACCCAAAACCCTTAAACCCTAAACCCTTAAACCCTTAAACGCAAAACCCTTAAACCCTAAACCCTTAAGCCCTAAACCCTCAAATAATTAAACCCTTAAACCCTAAACCCTGAAACCCTTAAACCTTAAACCCTAAAACCCTAAACCCTTTAACCCTCAAACTGTTAAACCCTAAACCCTTAAACCCTAAACCCTTAAGCCCTAAACCCTTTAACCCTAAACCCTTAAACCCCAAACCCTGAAACCCTTCTTCCTTAAACCCTGAAACCCTAAACCCTTAAACCCTAAATTCCCACCCAGGCCTCCTTAGTCCGTACCCACCCTCTTCCAGGGTGCCTGGACCCAAAACTATATCCGGCAGCCATTCACACCATCGCTTGGAGCTACT